GTAATAGAATATCTTGTATTCATTAGTCGCTACGACGACGTTAAGGCAAAACACGAGAGAAGCCGCCGGTCGGTAATTTTAGGAGGGAAATGGATGAAATTGAATATTTTGAAATTTTTTTATTTTTGGGGCAAAAATTTACGCGTAATTTATCGTAATGTAACGGGGCTGGCATAAGAGTGATCGAATAGGTAAATTTTTGGTCTATCCTTTATTTCGATTTATTATCGGAAATTTCACCTGTTACGGATAAATGCTAGGAGTTTTTGCACGTATGAAATGTTTTTTTTTTTTTTTTTTTTCCTTTTTGAAACTATGCCGCATAAACACAGAGTGGCCAATTTGTTCGTCCGTTATTCAACTGTACTCCAAGTCTATAAGCTGCACGGATGAGTGCTCTCGACATTTCCAATACTCAATATTCAGTGATACACCAGACGGCAGCGGATAATCAGATTCCGCACAAACATATTTGAACAAATTTTTAAAAATACAATCCTGAAAAATAGTACAGCTGCGCATCCCCGATGTATTTTAACGTGAAACCTGATAAATTTCTGGCTGATATCTTGTTGGGAGAAAAAAATTATATTAAATGTGAGTTTCTGCGGAAAAACACACATTTCGGTCGGCACGACAATGAAGGAGCTACGTGAAAAGTTGTATAATTTTTTTTTTATAACAGTTGCGAACTGTGCCTTGTTTAGGTAAAATTGCGAATTTTTTTTTTGCGACAAAAATTCCGCGAATTTCCAACAACTTTTGTTTCGTATCGAAAACGTGATTTACTCTGAATATCGGGTTCTTTTGTCGGTGATGAAATATTTTTCGAATTCGCAAAAACGTTAATCTTACGTAATCACGGTAATTCGCGAGCATCCGAAAAGTCATGCTTGAGTGTCTGAAGATTTTTTTATCGAATTTGCATGTTAAGTTATGAAACAATTGAGAAGAAAATAATTGCATTCATCAATAAGTTGAATCAATCGTAATTCGAGTAAGGGAAATAATAATTCATGGTATCATCATATATGTAACTAGAACAGTCTAAATTATTATTCGCAATACATAATCGATATCAGTTCGCGCTTTCGATGCTAGGGTTATTCGTGAAAATTTATTAATAACTTACAGGATCCTTTGTTTACAAGAATTGTCAGGTACAGTGATTTTGAGCAAGTGATAAGGTATACTTACAATTCGTATACGAATTATAGATTTTTTTAATGAACATTTTTTCAACCAATGGTACATTAACGTCTGTACGATATATAGGGTGACTCTGAAAGTAAATAGACAGGACCTCAATAATGGACGTGTTCATGTAAATTATATCTATGTATAATGATTTTAGCACGCGTGTCCATCGGCTGGACGTCGTTTCTTATGACAATATTTTATATTTCCATTTACCCTATACTACGTCACGCGTCTATTTTACAAACAAAGCCAACCTAGTAATTTCTCTCGTGCACTTTCGTGAAATGTTTGATATCCAGCATACAAAAAAATATAATGCTATTCTACGGTTTGCCGTTAACATATTCCGTAATTCGAAGGTAAAACTTCGTCATTCTTATTTCACGAGGAAATCCATATGCCAGACAAACTTTTTAACATAAACGTAGCCACTACGATTTTCCTTGGTCAGAGTTTTGTTTGCACGAACCCAAAACTACATAAATCAAAGCTGTTGTTGTTTTTTTTTTGTTACACGCAAGGAAACTTATACTTTCCGAATATTTCATATCGACCAAAGGCTGTTCGCCACTTTCAAGAAAATCTCTGACATTTGACCATTTACTAACTTTTTCGCGGTAATGGACAAAAGATGTTAGGTTAGGTTAGATTGAAATAATTCATAAAAATAATTTCAAGATATACCCATAAATTGATATTAAATTAAAAGAAAAAAATGATTGATCCGAATCAATCGATAAAGTAATCGTATCGACACCAACCGATTTCAATAATAGTAATTCGCAAAATAATTTCAAGATATATCCATAAGTTTATATTAAATTTAAAAAAAATGATTGATTCGAATCAATCGATAAAGTAATCGTATCGATACTAACAGATTTTAATCACAGTGATTCGCAAAATCCCTACAATTTATATATTGGTAAACGACCGGAACCATTGCTAAAAACTTTTCTATGCAATTCAAACTCCAGTGACGTATCACTCGCATTCCATAATCAGCCCGTTATCAAAACATGTCGTGCGCCCCCAGAGCATAAAAGCGTTTGACCTATCGATCGCAACAAAGTATATACGCGGATGCACGAAAGTTTAAAATAATCTCAGCGTCCACCTTAAGCATTGTACTTAGCTACTCGTTAAACGTTAACCCCACGCCGAATAGTTTCGTCGAGGCCTTCCCTAACGTTATTTACAGGCCACCCCCGACGGAGCAAAGGAGTTATAAAGCATTCGCCAACAAGGCTGTAAAAGCATGGCGCAACTATTTTTCACATGCTATTCCGTAAAACTGTCAGTTCGTTACATTAACGACGCGTCGTTAAAGGTCAGTCTAAAAAGATTATAGATAATTGCAAGGACAGAGTAATACGACATTCTTTTTTTTTTTTTTAAATGACATACGTCACAGTTGCATCCTACACGCACGTCGCGACTAAATAACCAAAAATTGCATCGACGAGTGAAAAATGAATTTATCGAATGGCAGGAATTAAATTTACGTATAATAATAATAACGAGGGGCAATTAACTTTTGCATGTAATTATACGCAGGGATTTATTAATTACTCGAAATAAATGATCAGTCGCGAGATTCAGGTTGAATCTTTCCATGGAAACGAAGATTGGCAATGTGTTGGGAGTCACGCAGTTGGATTCGATTGGACGCTCAGGCCCTGGCAGACAGTCGCCACGAGATAATAATGCTAATTACCAGCGAGGAGCACGGAGAGGTCCAGAGCCCGTGACCGAGGGAGGCTGGAGCCGAGAGAAAAGAGAATCGAGAGCCCACGTGAGCCCGATGCGTTATTTTAAAAAATTCAATTCCATTTACATGTTACCTCTTCCAAGAATCCAGCATCCGACTGGCTATAGGTATTTAAGCTGCTTGGCCATTCTCGGCCGCGACTCTCGCTCGGTGTCTTCTTGGGGACTCGTTGCTGCACTCCGAGAGGAAGATAACACAAAAGGAAGGTGGTTAAAAAAAGAGGGGGGAAAAAAGGTGGAGAAGAGGGGGGTGGGGGAGGGGGGGGAGAAGGGAAGGACTACAGGGGAAAAACGAGCACGCGAGTGAATTAAGTTGTACTCACGCAATTGCTAGGACGAAGGCGCGTTTCGTTGCCAGCTGCATTATCTTCGTTGGATTTTGCCAATTTTTTTTTTCTTTTTCTTTTTTTCCTTTCGCGCGAGAATTTTTTTGCAAATTTCTTTTTAACTTTGTACCTGCCGCTAAGATCGCTTGCTTTAGTTTTCTCGATCGTGCTTGGAATACGATCTGTTTTTATCTGCTGGGCTGTCCTCGATTATTGATGACGTCATAACTTTGACGGTCTTGTACCACGTTTGGGACGTGACGCGTTGCAAAATCGAATTAATGGTTTTTTTAATTCCGTGAGTTATTAATTTGACCTGAGCTTACGTCAATAATCGAAGTGGTGCAAAGACTTTTTTTTTTTTAATTGATCACCTGTAATTATGAACTTGTTCAGTTTTTAGTGTATGACCTTAATTTAATTATCTAGCTTGACTGTATTGACTGTACGGCTCCAGGGTCGGGGATATGAAATATAGATGAGACGTGTGTCATCCGAATTTGATATATGTAAAATTTCTAGGTAATTTTTTTTTTTGTTTTTTTTTTTATCGTCAATTCTTCGATATCGAGTTACTAAGTAATTTTGTGTCTGATCGATAAAAGGGTTGATAAAAAGAATAAATGAAAAAAATTGGATTGACAAGTAATTTCAATCACAAAATAACGTATCTGCTGTACCGTGCAAGATGTTTATTTGTTATACGTGAATTTAGGTCTTTCGGAATAGATTTCGATATTGTATGTATTATACGATCGTGCTTGGAACGTATTCATAAATCTTGAGAATTCCGAGAAATCTCAGAATTCCAATATCTTACGTAACCAGCCTCCAGTCGATTAATATTTTTTTTTTTTCTCAATAATATACTATTGCCTCACCCACGTTCAACCTATACGTCTGTGCAACCTTAGGTGTAATAGTTAGATTTATACCACCTATCATTATCAATACGTTTCACTCTTATTTCCATTACACGACCGAATACGCGTCTATCGGTCGTAAATATTGATATTAAAAAAAATTTCAAAAAAAAAAAAACTTTCCCAAGTCATTTTCTTATATGAAAATTAAACGAAAATTGGCAGTAAAAAATGATCAAGGAGTGAAATTTCGGCAAAGATCCTTCAAGATTATCCCGAGTTCACCCAAGAGGAATCTTTCGCGAGATGAGTCATGCGACAAAAGGCATAGTGAATACAAAGATGATGCAAGACGGTGCATTGTTCCGGTGCAACGGGAGGCTGGAAATATTTGAATATCGCCCTCTCGTTTAAAGGGAGAAAGCCATGTTTAAGTAAAGACGGGAAGGGGCGGAGTAGGCTTAGCTGATGAATTTTCTGAACCCAGGACCGTTGCAAGTTTCTTAAATCACGATAGGAAGATCATTAGGAGGAGACAGCTTGGTCCAGGAAGATAACACCGGTCCATACAAAAAAAAAAAAAAAAATTAAAAGGCGCGCACTTCGAATTCCAACTAAAAACTGGAAGCTGGGTCCATTTGTGGAGAATGGTAAAAACGGCTTAATGTAGATCAGAAAAATTGGAGGTACCCAATTAAAGGATGCATCAAGGTGGATGAATAAAAAATGTTTGGCGTAATCAAAAGTTGTAATTTTTATTTTTATTAAGTACGAAGGTTAACAATGGATTTGACTGGTTGAAGGTTCCTTGTACTTTATTAGATTTTGGTCCAGACCCTCTTACCGGCTCACCTCTGTTTTATTGCTTCCCTCCTGAGCACTCGCTACTAATTCGCTGCTCCTCCTCTTAGACAACAGTGTAGCGCACAAGGTACGACGTGGACTCGCCACAAATTTCGCCGGGGCTATTTAGCTAATGGACAGATAAAAAGTTGCATTGACAATCTTTGGCATTTTCGATCCTTTAATGCACGTCATAAGACACTGATAAGGTCTGCCGGGTCGAGAAGGGCAGCCTAACCCAACCCTTACCTTCCATTCCCTCGAAGTAATCTCCGGAGCTATTGCCTCCGCGGACAATAACTTAGATAAGAGACCCGCGTTCCTTTTAATACTAGAATTTTCTCGGATGAGCCTCCGCGGGAACGAAATCCTTGAGAAATGCTAATTTCAAAACCCATCACCCGCAGACAAGGTATACCATCGTAAATACTTACGCCCTACCACGAAAGCATTCGTGACCAAAAAACAAAAAGGCTGACCAAATTTTTAACCACCAAAAAATCACTTTGCCCCGTATACAATCGTTTGGTTAAAAAAATCCACAAAAAAAAAAAAAAGTGAAAATGTACAAAATAAAAGTTAAAAATATTTTGTACTATCCGGAAAATGCAGAATGTAGTACTTTTTTTTTTGTTTCAATAACCAACTTCACCTGCATCTTCACTTACGTCACCTCAGACACCTTCTCCTACGTAGACGCAACGAATTGCACCCGAGACCCCCTGAAGTTGGCTGTGGAAGCGCAGAAGCTCGAGGAGAAGCACGATGGATTTTCCAGGGACGTATCAATCGGGCGAGTGTGCAGCTCTTGTACGTACGTCTCGTAAGCAGCAGGGCGAGAGAAGGCCTGAATCGTAGAGTGCGCTGGATATGGGTATGGGTTCGGGTATGGGTATGGGTGTATGGGCATGCACGATGCACGTAGCGAGATAACTGGTTTCGCGGGGCCTGCTATCATGGCACTCTAATTACCAGCCATTACACACAGAGAGGCGAACCCCTCTGAATTGTTGCGTTCTCTGCCTACTCGGTACTAACCACTCGACCACCGAGACCGGTGTGCCCTGACCGCAGCTTTAAATGCAGAATTAATATACTACCCGTACACATTTTGACCTTGGCGCTACGTCACACTTGCAAATTTACAGCGTACAAACAAAAAATTTCATTGTACAGTCCGCATCAAGGTACCGGAGCAACATCGTGGCACTACCAAGAGCCCTGGGGTATCTAAAAAATTTTCAAAATGCCACGAACAAATACCACCGTAAATCACGTATCTCGACTGTGACGTATTTCCTGACCCCGGTCCCAGTACAGGACTCATTTAATCCTACAATCCTAGCTGACCGAATAAAATTTTGTTACCTCAGTCAATGACCTTTTTTTTTTCGCAAAAAAAGTTTTCACATCGTCGCAACGTGAAAGATGTTGAATGTGTTTTTTTTTTCTTATTACGAATCACATTCAGCAAAGTCCCGGTAGATTCGCGAAAGCATCTGCGCTTCGTTTCGCTGAGAGACCAGAGTGTACACAGTGGGCATGCCGGTGTGGCGAAAAGCGCTAACGTTGTAGAGGTTATGTGAGAGAGGCTGATGCTCGACGGGAAAACTCCGAGTTAAGTAAATCCATAAAACGTTGTTGGCAGTACCGGAGGGTCTCGGTGCACTGTATGAAAGTGTCGTAACTCGAATAAAGACAGAAACGTTCTACACGTTGATGCGGTACCAACTGAGAGTAAAGTCTATATATATATATATAGCGTACGGTCATGAATGCAGAGGTACCAACAGCGCAGTAATATATATTTGTTGCATGTTTCACGCCCATTGGTTCCCCTTTCACATGAACTTTGAGGCAGCGTACACGGACTCGTCCTCGTTCGGAATTACTCATACGAGCGGGAAGACCTTACGAGCATTTATATTCTATTTACGGCACGATAATTACTCGGTAACGCGTTCTCGGCAATATTTAGCGACGTGCTTGTATCTCCCGGCGCAATTTCCCATAAGTTTCGTATTATCGGGGGAACTTTTCGCCGGTCAACCGAGACACCCGTTATCATTGCCAATCTGCCGGGTGAGGGAGAGGGCGATGTGAAAATTTTCAAAAAAATTTCCTGCTCGGGATAAATGCAATCTGCGTGGACGATAAGGACTGCGAAATCGATTGTAAAGGATACTCGATGAAAATATCCTTGAGGAATGTCGTTTGGTATCCGGATTAAAGCTATACGTCAAACAGACAGGGACACGATCGATTTGTATCTGAGGTAGAATTAATTTCTGCTATCGATAACGAGAGCAATAAATATCGATTTAGGAATGATGATTGAAAGACATTTTTTTTTCCAAATTTCGAATTGTTCCGTATGACCTGCGTAACGTATGTGGATTTTTTATTCTTGGGGTATCGTACATTAATGCACGTATATTTGTGTAGCATATCATCCCGGAGATTGGTTGGTAGCTGCATAAGAATGCGTCATTAATTAAACTCGGTCGTATCTGCAATCTGATTGGATGTTTAATTGGATTAGGCAGAGTATGGTTTGAGGGCAGTGTAGGGCACACGTGAAGTCATCGAGCGTAAGCGTTAATTATGTAGTACCTGTTATACCGGTGGCGACTTGGCGAGAGGCTATTGCTCCATGCGAAATGCCAATCGCGTATGCTTCTTTCTCTCTCTCTCTCTCTCTCTCTCTGTTGGTCGGCAATTACCGATCCACAAAGCGTGGAAATCGGCGAGCTTCGTAAATCACTTGCACTTGGTGTGTCTCGCTATCGCCGCTATTTTCTAAAGTGCGTTGCTCGGCTCGAACTACGAATTCTGTATCCACGTACTGTATATTACGTGTATACAGGCGTTATACAATCTTTCGATCCCTATACCTTTCTAATGCGCAATGGATCTAACGGGCTCAGATCCGGCAGTAGGGAACAAGACTTGCGGGTGATATCGTTGCGAAACTTAAAAGGCCGTAGGAGAAGCTTATACGGCAAGGAGCGGATACTTCGTAAATGCGAAGGTTGGGATCGAGTGTAAAAATTAAATTTACGGGTGCGATAATACAAAGGCGAGAACGGAGAGTGACTGGTCGGAGGATTATTTAATTTTTTCATAAGGACAAATACTCGCGAATCATTAAAATAATTATTATGGAATTTATTGATTACTCGTGCTCTCGGTTCTTTACTTCGATTCTTGAAATATTTGTGAAACTTTTTTTCCTTCTTTAGTCACGCTGCGTTTCCGCTCGTACTGCCAATTGTCTCGAGCAGACCGAAGTAGGCTGCGATTCGACTTGGCAAGGTTAGCGGGCGGGAAGGGAGAAAAGGACGCGGAGGAACGATAACGCGTGGGCGTCCAGGGGCGTGTGTGCGGTTGCCTGAGAAAAATTTACATGATGTAATGACGTCGTAAGAGCCACTGATTTACAATGCGTTAAAGGTACGATTACACGCGAGAAACGGGCGAGCACGCTATCGCTGTAACGAAGGCAGTACGAATATTCGTCTGAATGCGAATTTGAAAGAGGAGTGGGGGGAATTATTTTTTTTGTATGAAAAATTATTTTTGAAATTTTTTTTTTTTATTACGTTCGCCAAACTTTTTTTTAACAAGGCACGTCTGTTTGTTGTAACGATGCAAGAAATTCGAAAATTCATATACTCTCCGATCGCGTTATCTATTTAATCTGCCTGCGGAAGATTATTGTGTACTATAAATATCATTCTTAGCCCCGGGTCGCACACACTACATTCATCTTAAGATCGGACCGAGCATTATCGTGCGTACGCCCACGTTGAATATCGTTATTCACGGCGTAATTACACAAAGAGCGTGGAGCCTTATCTCGTAGGATGCTTTCACATAACCTACGGCAATCCCGATGATTTGCGAAATCTCAGTAGGCTTTTTCGTATTTGTCATTGAACTTCCATTTCGACGTGTGGCTCCATTGGCAATTGACAAAAGGTACCGAAATGGTAGGTTTCGGTTTTTCAACTTTGAGACGTATTTTGGTCCCTTTTTCGTAATCTATTACGCAACCGGCCAGGAAATCCGGCTTTTCTCGCTTCTCGAGACCTCACGTATAGTTACGCTTTGTTCAGCTTCGCGGGAGCTCACGTGTCGGCACCTCGTTATCTTTACGAAAATTTTCTTTACTTTGGATTCGGTTTCACACATCGTCATTTTTAACGAAATTATTTTTGACTTGTCTCGAAATTTTTCACTCGTTACCTGTACTTCTTAAACTTACGAAGTAACAGGGTCTATTTGGAGGTTCTAATTCCTCTATCGCCGGCTCCCTTAGCGATATCTAGGCGTTCCATGCATTTCTACCATCCTGTATTGTCTGTGCAAATCGGTTGCACTTTCTTCCGGTCCTTCTGGAATCTCTTTTGGAGATTTCGTTCCGTGACGCGAAGGTACGTCTGGCGCCCAATCGGTTCTTTATCGTATCGTGTAACGGGGAACAGAGAGAATTTGTCGACACAGAATCAGCTGCGTATAGTACAGGTATCTTTTAAAATTGTTTCCGTATTGTCCTATTTTGATTTTTCGTCACATATACATATATATATATATATATATATATATATGACTTTAATTTATAGCAAGGTACATACGTAACACAATGTAACGTCCGAATGTAATTGATTGTTGTGAAATATAAAATAATAGAGAAAACGAACAAATTAAAACAAAGTCAATTGCACTTTGAGTCGTATGACTTTGTGCTTATGTTACTTTTAACGATTGGACAGAAATCGTGATTTAGAGATCGAATCGTAAATCAATAGTTTTCAATAACAATAGCTTACACTGTGATTAGATTTTAATATACATATATATATATATTGCTTTAACAACCTCGAAAGGCATGCAGTTGAACTAATGTCGTAATTCTGACCCCGACTGTACATTATATAGACACTGTCTGGTATCTATTCTATCTGTTAGCCAGAGATTTGCCGACAGCCGACATGTTGTGCGCTTACGTATCGTAACAATAAATAATATACCGATCAGCGAAAAAGCTCGACTGTACTTAGCCGCTATCCAATATTATCTAAGAATTACAAGGAGTGCCTGAGAAATGATAGGAACACACCTATGGGGTGCAGAGATATTTTATTTTTTTGATAATTGTAAAAAAAATTTTTTTTTTTTACAAATTTTTAATAAATCCTTACACGACGCATCCAGGTCGTTATGACGATTTACGATTTGCCGATTAAGGACTTTAAATGATTTTCATCCTTCGGGATGATGAGTATCGGATTGATCGATAAGGGAGAAAGTAGTTTACCCTCGTATCGAAGATCCAGGAAGTCGATTTCTTTCGATATACGAACTTATGGTTGAGTTACGTAGCTGCAACAGCTGGCTACATATTAGGAGTCCCTAATGAGATATAAATTACGATTGACTCACGCACCGAGTCAACATCTTATATGGTACATACTGGGAAAGTTTGTGACGCAACACGTAATTCTCTCACGTACGTCGCGAACGATAAAATCATCCCCATTGTTTATTACAAGACGAACCTCCTTCTGCCTTATCATAATCCCCTTATCTCCCCTCCCCCCCCCCCC